AAGGGTGTTCTTTTCATCACAAAACTTTCCTCATGCAAATGTTTCGTATGAAGCCCTACAGAAGTACCAGGTCTCAGCTTACTCATTGCATTAGAAAGGCAAACATTTTTTTTGTAGTGGCTTGCTGCCTGTTTGGCTTTGTCGGGATGGGTTTTAATTCAACAAGGGTATAATTTTACATTTGGCTCTGTAGTTAAAAATAGCTGTTGAAAACGATCCTTAAAATGTGAAGATGTTTTCCATGGAAATTGTGTCCAAAGTATCTATAGGTCTTTTGCATTGACTTGATCTTTTAAGTGATTTCTACACTATATTGAGTTGTCTTCATTGACTGACAACAAAACCATGACCCTCAGCGAGGTTATCGTAGATAGCTCATGCAAGACTTTTGCACATTTGCACATATGAGCCTTTAAAAATAAAGTGTCTAGCTGCCTGTAGATGGTGGCTTCTTCTTTTGTAAGACAAAAAGGCTCTGTTGAAAACTGTCACTTAGTTGTCCTTACTCTAAAATCAGAGTTACTGAAAGAGGAGAAACCAAGATGACGACTTCTCTAAGAATTACCGTCTGTGGCTGCTCAGACAGAGCTATGAAGAAACCAAAATGCCAAACTGTGGGGCTGACCTCATATTTCTCCACGGGAATGCTTTTTTTCCACTGCCTCCTTTAAGAGATAGTTTCTTACTTTAGATAAGGGAAACTCCATCAGCTGCTTCATAGAGCAAAACTGACACCCACTGGCCACCCCCAGTACTTGAAACGTTTTGAGCTATCGAGCAATCCTGCTTCAGAGCAGAGCAGGAGAAAACGAGAAGTGGATCAACCTTCTAGCCCATCTCAGCCCTTCTTCCTTACAGCTCATGACCGCAGCTTTGTCAGTGGTAGCCCCAAAAGCCCACTGCCATGAAGTGGGATGATGCATGATGTAACACACAAGCTCCCTTTCACTCCTAGGGAATCAGTTGTATAAACTCCTTTTACATGGCAAGTGACAGTGCTCCTACCCCTTTCTGTAGGAAGATGGACCAGCTTTACTGACCCATTTTTTCCCTGAAATTCAAGAAGACATTTCATTTGCTCAGTCTCAGGCTTGCTGTGCCCACGGTCCACCACACTTCCCTGCAACAGCTATTTGCAAGCAGCCATCCATGTGCTGGTTGCCACTCAGCCACACTTAACTCAATTCTGCTCCAGTGGCGGTCTGTCTCCTCTGTATCCCAAATTTCTCTGTGGTATCCTTGTTCCTTTTCACACTCACCTCCAATTGCTGGAGCTTTATTTAGGCTCCCAAAGATAATATTTCCTACTTTGCCTGTGTGTTGTATGAAGGAGTGTCCCTTTCTGCTGCCCTGTCACAGCACAGGCCAGAATTAAACTGGCATTTATACATTTATTTTTCAATCTCACTGCATGCTCGTATCTGATTTGCTATCCACTTAGGCACTTCCAACATGATTGACTTGTAAGTAGCTCCTACCGACCGAGTATCTTTGGTTTGGATTATATTTATCTCCTCATGGAGAACTTCAATCTTCCCTGGCATTCAATCTAATTCCTTAGCTTCCTCCACATATCATATATCATCATGTGCTACTCTGTGGTATTATTCCTTTCTCCAGTCTGGTCTTTGAAACTCTCCTCCACTCTCTTATGTGTTACTGATTTCAAATAGTACATTATATTCTACATGGAACATGTCACTGTGCTGAAGGGTACGTTATTATATTTTATGTAACCAGTGTGCCCTTTTACACCTGTGTGATCAGTTTGCACTTCAGCTATTTGAAACATCCCAGTAGTACATTATTCAAAATTTAAAGCATGGTATCTCTAAAGCACTGTCCTGTTTCTTATCGCAGTTTCCAGACAGTATAGAGTAACTTCTGTTGTTAAACAGGGAAGAACGTTTCCTAACAGTGAACGGCTTCATCCATGCACATTCTCCTTGCCTATGCTACTGCCTAAGCTGGCTCAGCCTTAAAGGAAAAAGGAAACCACGGTAAACTGGGCTCTCCCTGTCCGAACACTCGTACATTCAGGTTGTCTCACAAGAGTTTTCAAGAACAGGCAAGCTAATCTAGTAGTTTAAATAATTATTTTTTTGAGACCCCTCACAGAAATGAATAATCTGACTTCACTGTAGATGCCCCTTCCCTGGAGACATTCAAGTCCAGGCTGGATGTGGTTCTGGGCAAACCTGATCTAGTTGAAAAAGTTCCTGCTTATTGCAGGGGGTGTGGACTAGATGACTTTTGGGGGTCTCTTCCAACCCAAATCATCCTATACTTTTATGATATACAGTCCTCCTTTTATTTAACTTCTCCATGTGAGCAAAACATCATCATGCATTGCTTTAGCAGAACTTGATGAAGTTACAAGATTATTTGATGATGTTTAATAGCTGGTTAATTCATGAGTTGAAGGCCACATGAGAGAGCAGCCTCCTTCTTCCATCTCACTTTCGTTTCTAGTCTTGACTGAATTACAGTCGCTCCCAAACTACAATGTGCAGTCTCATGGCCAGAGGATGAGGTGGTTATGTGGAGAATATGAAGCCCATGCATCTGCAGATGTCACCATTTCCCAGATGCAGTGGCTAATGGTAGGACGGAGGGGACGCACTTTGGCCTTACTGAGGGATGACCACTCCCTGCGCTTCCTCTTCAGCAAGGGGTCACTCTCAACGCTGAACTGAAGCAGCAGATACGTCTCCCCTGCTTTCCTTGTGCAGTGATAACACTACTGAAATAATCCTAAACTGCTATATACATGCATTTATTGATTTTCCTTGCTTAAAGCTTAGCCATGATTTCAGGCATGTAAAAATCCATTACATCAGAAGGATTTGTCAGTGAAATGCATTTTATGTTAAAAAGGGAGGGGAAAGAAGAGGTTCAACAAAGAGTCCTGGGATTTTCAGGCTATGCCTTAGATAATCATGGGAATGTGAGAATATGGGTAAGTTTCCACCGCAGTTCATGTCCACAGAAATGATGTGCTTTCTCTGCTGACTTCGGTTTGAATATTCTTTTCCTTATTCAGATTAGATTTGCCTCTACACAGTGGTATTCCTGGGGGAGAAAATTGCTTATACAGATGTTGTTTAATTTTCAAATTTCATTTTTCAAAGCAATTGCTGATAAAGGACCCACCCCATCACCCTCCTGAGTATTTGCTTATTCAAGGTCTGCAAAGAAGGATAATTTGCTCCAGTTCTCAGCATGGTGGCACAAGAAGAGGCTGCATGTTTGCAGAGGCACAAGACTCATTTTGATCATCCAATTTCATGGACATGTTTGAACACAGCATCCCTGTTCTCTTCTATGCTGTCAGGTCATCGTCCTGAAAGACCCGTCCTGTTTGGATGCGAGTTAAAGCAGGGTGTCTCTGCTTTGCAAGACCACATTAAGGATATGGTGCTTATGTACAACCCTGATCTTATTAATGATTGACTGTTTCAAACCAGACATCACATCCACCCTACTGCATCCTGGTGAGACCTCTTCACTGTGCCGGTATCTTAGTACTCGTGTTCCCATCTTCTTTCTATTTAAATGAGGAGGTTGAATTAAATGAGATCCAGAGGTGCTCCTTCCAATCTAAATTACTCCACAGACACATATTAATAGTAACACTACTTAATATTTTCTGAAAGAGTCTCCCATGACCATCACAGAACACAAAGGTTCAAAGATGTTATAATCCACATATGCAAGAAGCAAGGACAGAGAAAGGGCAACATATGGTGCAGAAAAAGAGTTGGTTTCTAGTGATCTAATAATTTTTTGCAGTATCATGGGTATCAGGGTAAGGCTTCAAGGGAAATTGTGTACTCATCCCAATCTTTTGCCCTTCATGCATATTTAAAATCCACAGCCACTTTCCAGCCTTTTAATGATTCTTCTGGTTTGGGTTTTTATTTTCATATTGTTTTAAAGTTACTTGAAAAATAAATACACTGATCAAAGGGTTTTCTGGAATTGTAGCTTGCTTTCTACCCTTTCATACATAATGGAAATACAGAGATGAAGGCATAGTAAAGCGTGTGGCTGTACTGTTTATTGCTTTCCTCTGGGGCGCCATTTATCTTACAACTACTACAGTTTGCTTTGGGAAACGTGTCTGATCGTAACACTTGCAAATGCACATTTCCAAAGCTGGCTCTGATAATTTATGCACTCACACTTCCATATCACACATTCTTTTTAAAGCTTCCCTTTCCACAATGTTGTTTCCCATTTTCACTAAAACAAAGGAGGGGGAATAAAGCCCACCTGTGATATACCTACATGGAAACCTACAAGATGAAGAACAGAATTTCCATCAGGTTGTTCTCTATATCACATTAGGCCTTTTGGGCCACAACCTACAGCATGCATACTAACACTGAAAAAATAGAAGAAAGAGAATTTAGGAGAAACTGAGGCACTTGCACAGGGTGCCCAGAGAAGCTGTGGCTGCCCCATCCCTGGCAGTGTTCAAGGCCAGGTTGGAGGGGGCTTGGAGCAACCTGCTCTAGTGGAAGGTGTCCACTGGAACTGGATGAGCTTCAAGGTCCCTTCCAACTCAAACCATTCCATGATTCCAAATTTGTCAAGATCATTATTTCAGAGTATGAAACAGGAAAAAAGTATGAAGTATATTTACTGAAGGTGACCTTTTCAATTTACTCAGCAGATATCAGAATGTGAAGGGGAAGAAAATGCCCAACAATTTGGGGGGTTTAAACCCCCAAATTGTTGGGCATTTTCTTCCCCTTACATTTTCATATCTGCCAGTCAACTTGAAAAATGTCCACCCTAAATTTAAATTTTCTGCTTTTGGAAACATAGTTCTGGATTTGGAGTCTTCCGTTTTCTCAGGCAAAAAAAAAACAAAACCAACATGGTGAATGGAAATTATTTCACTACAATTTTATTTTAGTTAAAATTCAAATTTTCTGTTTTAAGAAAATTGATGAAGATTTTTGGCCTTCTGCAATCTTTATTCTCACTTTCAGTCCATAGCTGCTGGCATGGCAATGGACTGAAGAGAGGACAGAAACAATATCTCCAGCAAAAGCTATGTGAAAGGAAAACACAGGGAGAATAACAAAGGAATAATAGTATTTGCCTTATTCTAATCCAGTTTCCAACATCCACTGTATTTAACAAATGAAATCAAGGCCACAGTCGTTAATACCAGGGTGCTCCAGGTCATTTTTTCTCTGTGTATTTTAACCCACAACCAAATTGAGGTTCACATTGCCGAGCATGAGCAGTTCCTAAAAAACAGCCCTTACACAAAGACACTATAATATTTCTGGCCACTTTATGTTTGCCAGTAAGAAAACCTACCCCTACATATGCTTACTTGTGTTTGGGCACTGTAAGCCAATTTTGGCATGGCAAAGGCCATGTGATTGTATTTTGTCAAACATCAGCTACTTCTCAGCAAGTGAACCTTATGGAAAGCAGGGTCACAGGTGCCTCTCACAAAACCAGAATTAGGGAGAGTGTGGGCTCTTCTTCAGCCCAAAAACCTCCCCTGGCAAAAAGTTTTAGACCAAGCAAGCAAGAGGTAATGTAAAAAACAACCCCCAAAACTTTCCACTACACTTGAACTTTCTTTTTTTTCTCCTGTGGTAAAAGGCAGACGAGTTTGATGTTTATTACCAGTTTTTCCTATTGTCATTGCACAGAGTTAATGTAACTGCCATGCTATAGTAATACACATCTGCTCTTTGAAACGCACCGGTGAATGTCAGTTAGGTAGTATTTATGCTTCTCATGGCATCAGAGTAATTAACATCCCCTTTGTTTTAAGTATGTGATGAAACAATATATTAAAAGTCTCCGCAGAACATACCAGGAAGGGTTGAAACAGTAGGAAAAAAAAAAGTCATAAAGATCAGGGCTGCATTTCAGCACCTCACTTTAGGTATGGTAGTTTAAACGCAGGGCAAAATCCCACTAATGGGAGTTAAGCAAGAGGTGCCCAGGTTACATGCCAGCACAGAGGTGAGGATGGAGGAGCATCCTTTACTGAGGCTCTGGACTAGAGTCACCTGAGTTACTTGGATTCCCTTTTGTTCTCCGTTTGCCCATCCTAAAGCTTCTCTGATTTTATTCATACAGCGTTCAGTTTCATTAAATGTTTATGACCCTATTACATGGTACAGTTTTAGATTACTATAATAAAAGGGAGTTGATAAAACTTCATTATCTGTGGTGGCAGAGGAAGAATAAAACCTTACACTTTCAAGTTTGTCCACAACATTGTCTGCAGTAACCTCTTTAAAAACCAAAGCGCGCACACACACAAACTCCCCCTGAAAACCCGAATTCACTGTTACTGGAGTCAGTGTCACAAAGTCACTGTTGGAAGTTGGTACATCAAGCACATAAAGAAAACTTTACTAAAGCCATAATTTCTTTGCCACTGCATTTATTATTTTGGAGCAACACCTTTTTGTTCCCTGTGTTACTGGGGTGGGAAGTATACAATAGTTAAAGCACAGGAGCATCACCTCAGCAAAGGACAAAGCTATACTTGAGCTGGGGTGTGGAGCTCAGAAATTCCTGTGATCTTTTCCTTTAAAAAATAAATTGCTGGCACTTCAATCATTATCAGAAGGAAGAGAGTATTTGTTTCAAAGAGGCAGAACAAAGGCTTTAAAATTAAACTCTGCTCATCTCCAGCTTCTTAGTGAATGCAGGAATAAGAAAGATTTTAAGATCTGCAGAGGTGTTTTAATTCCTTTGTGTTATACAGGTAAAATCTCTTTTCCTCCCTCTTGCCAGGTGTGCCAGAAAAGATATTTGATAAAATCCAGTCCTCAGTTTTGAGTTTTATAAAAATCAAAGAAGAAAAGTTGTACTAACAGCCCTTCAAAATACTCCCCTCTCCCCTCCCATGGCATTTTAAAGAGTCTGATGTTGTTCAGAAGATGGACTTGGCTGCGCCGTGCAGTACTGATGCTTGATCACCTACTGTTCAACCAAAATAGAAGCTACCTGAGATGTACCACATGTTCCTGTGGTCTGGGGGAGCCCACAGTGGGGGTCTGAGATGCACAGCCCAAAATGCCTGCAAGGTTCTGGCTCTGACATTCCAGAGGGGGAATTCGAGCACTGTGGAACTGAAGAGGCACATCTAATGGCTGACACGGAGAAGGAAGGAATCTCGTGCTGTCAAGGTTTGGGAAGGGTTTCTGTGGGGCAAACCTGTTGTCCAGACTCCTGAAGAAGGTCTGCACAAGACTGGTCTGAAAGGTGTGTATTGCACACTGGCTGAAAACTGGTCTCAAAGGGTCCTTTGAAGGTAGAGGGCTGGGTAAGCCATCAGGGGCAACAGCCTGACTGCAAAGGGTTGAAAAAAAACAGGAGGTGGTGGCTTCCCCATCTGCCCTGCTCCAGCTACACCATCCCCTCATCACCCCCTCTGAGCCCCCATGTATTTCTTGTGCTTCCTTTATCTCTCACTCTTTCCACCCCAAAAAGTTCTCTTGCAAGGAAGAACCATCTCCATTTGAGAGCAGGGCAAGCTGTAGCCCATTTTGCCAGCTGTGGGTTCCAGATCTGTTGGTGGAGAGCAGATATACAGGGAAAAGGCAAGGAGATGTGAGAGATGGGGCAGGTGGTGGCACTGGACGGGAAATCTCAGGTTTTGTACCTGAGATAGGCAGAAGGAGGACAGAGCCCCTTCCTTACTCATGGCCCCATGGCCATTGTGCTGGCATTGCGTCTGCTTGGAGAGCCTCAGCCACATCTCTGCAATGTGCTGGGGGAATGATATGGCCTCTACCCAGTGCAGTTGTCCTTGATTTAATGCTGATTTAACTGCATTTAGACTAGCAGTGCTTTACATCACTGGGACTGAGGACAGCTGGTTCTCCCTTCACCCACCTGAAAATGCACCTGCAGTTTATGGTCATAGAATCATAGAATAGTTAGGGTTGGAAAGGACCTTAAGATCATCAAGTTCCAACCCCCCTGCCATGGGCAGGGACACCTCACACTAAACCATCTCACCCAAGGCTCTGTCCAGCCTGGCCTTGAACACTACCAGGGATGGAGCATTCACAGCTTCCCTGGGCAACCCTCTCCAGTGCCTCACCACCCTTACAGAAAAGAACTTCCTCCTTATATCCAATCTAAACTTCCCCTGTTTAAGTTTTAACCTGTTACCCCTTGTCCTATCACTGCAGTCCCTAATGAAGAGTCCCTCCCCAGCATCCCTACAGCCCCCCTTCAGATACTGGAAGGCTGCTATGAGGTCTCCACGCAGCCTTCTCTTCTTCAGGCTGAACAGCCCCAACTTTCTCAGCCTATCTTCATACGGGAGGTGCTCCAGTCCCCTGATCATCCTTGTGGCCCTCCTCTGGACTTGTTCCAACAGTTCCATGTCCTTTTTATGTTGAGGACACCAGAACTGCACACAATACTCCAGGTGAGGTCTCACAAGAGCAGAGTAGAGGGGCAGGATCACCTCCTTTGACCTGCTGGTCACGCTCCTTTTGATGCATCCCAGGATACGGTTGGCTTTCTGGGCTGCGAGCGCACACTGAAGCCAGCTCATGTTAAGTTTCTCATCGACCAACACCCTCAAGTCCTTCTCCTCAGGGCTGCCCAGAATCTGTTCTCTGCCCAACCTGTAGCTGTGCCTGGGATTGCTCTGACCCAGGTGCAGGACCTTGCACTTGGCATGGTTAAACTTCATGAGGTTGGCATCAGCCCACTTCACAAGCGTGTCCAGGTCCCTCTGGATGGCATTCCTTCCCTCCAAGGTATCCAGGTCCTGCCACTCTGGTTTGGCATTTCAGCTGGAAGCACAAGGGCTAGAAAAAGCTCTCATTTTAAGCGCTCTTCACATAAGCAGAAATGTTGTGAGATTCGGCAGAATGAGGAGCTTCCCAGCTGTCCCTTTTTTTTTTTTGCAGATGCTAAGAGGGAAACCTGGAGCATTCCTGATTTTGAAATGCCTAATAACCAATTTCTTGCACACAGGATCATAAATGTGCAAAGCCTGGAGAGAGGATCATGTGGGCACTAGAGCCAACAGCTCTGTTTGATAGAACCAAAGCAGGTCCAGGCTTTGGCTCTCCTAGCTGACACACATATAGATGTCCCAGTGGAGCATCTGGTGCTAGAAATGCATCATGTCAGCAAACAAACTCTTCTTCCTATCTGTGAAAAAGATCAGGAGCTGGAAAGAGGAGGCTGGGTGTAGAAGAGAGATGTTTAAATGGCCTTTGAGTAAGAACTGTTGGAACCATCTCATGGTTGCTTCTTGATGGTTGGAAGCAACTATCTCCTGTCTAACCTCAGGTATACTTCATACATAAAATGTCAGTTCAGTGTCTTGGATCGAAATTGCTCAACATGAAAGAGGCAGTTTCATATAGATGTCATTAGGATTCAGGGTTTCTGCCCACATGCAGGAGAGTGGAAAGCTGCTTTTAAGATGTTGGAGCAGCCCCGCTTGATAACTTAGTTTGTGGGATGGATTATGCCTCCAAGGGTTTAACTCAGGTTTTAACTTAGTGTGGCTTGAGGCCGAGGGGGGTTCAACGAGTATCTGCCAAGGCTCCTCAAAGGTAAAAGTGAAGTTGGTGCCTATTAGTCAGAAACCACCACAAAGCTGCGGAGCCAGAGGATGCTGAAGCCCTGGGTGTGCTATTTAACACCTGCCAGCTTTCAGCGCAACCGTATCCTATGATGCCGTTTCCACTTGCTTTTGTGGTTAGCAAAACCAAGCCCCAAATCTTCAGCAATTAACACTTTTTCTGTAAGGTTTCTGTTGAAAAGGAGCATTGTTGCTTGTCCAAATCTCAGTGAGGAAAACACAGGTTGAATGCTTGCACTGGATTATTTTATGGAGGCTTTGGTTTGAGGAAAGACAGACATAGCTCAGTGATGGGGAGAAAGGGATCAGGGAGATGAAATGACATAAGAAAAGAAGAATGCTGAGAGCACATTGTCTCCACAGAGTAAAAATCTTTCTAGATACTCAAAATTCCTGTGAAAATCCAAAGCCATAGGGATAAAGCAGCACCTTCTTCTTAGCTTCTCTTAAAATACCCTCCAGCTTGTGATCATTTAAAGCAGGTATTGGGGGGGTGGGGGGGATTAATTCACTAAAGCAGCCTCCTGCCTGAAGCCCTGCCTGCTCCATCCTGTTTTGGCTCCTGTAGCCCAGTTCATATGCAGGCAAGAAGCCCCATCCTTCAGCTTGTCCTTTCTGCAGCAGGATGGCTTAGAAATACATGGCATCGGTCTGCTCTTGAAGAATGGGGCAGAGCCGCCAGCAAGCTCTGGATGGAAAA